TGTAAGTTTAGCAGAATATCGTGATGAAATAGATCATAAACGAAAATGACATGTTCATCATTAATTAATTATAGCTAAGCAATGGAGCTTGTGAAAGATTGAAATAGAGTTTAAATATTATTCTAGGATGATTCTCCAACTTATTCAAAATGAGCATCACCCTTTCTAATCTTCTAACTTTCTGTCCTGAAGTAACAAGGTATCTCACACCTTTCACTTGAAACTTGATTTTGAAATTTTTTTTCACTGCACTTTGAACTGTCATAGTTGAAACTTCTCTCTCACGTTCCAAACGTCGTATGAATTGAGTTGAATCTTTTCTAATTGATCTCTTTAGCTCTAAGTTGAAATGATGATCCCTCTTCCTGTTGTGATTTCTTGATCCAGTTTTCCTCTCGACTGTTCCTTCCTTATTCACCGTTCGCTTGATAGTTCTTGAATGAAGCCAGAGTATGAATATTGGTACCATTACTGAAGACCTGAATTATCTTTTTTCTCTCACCATCGCTCATTTGGGAAGACAGTGAGTTTGACACAGCACGATTTCAGCCTGATCTCTTTTCAGCTGAATGACTGAAAGGGATTTTCAGTGATTCTTACAACAAATGGTATCAAGATGGCTAAACGTCTCATCTGAAAGCCTAAAAAAAAAATGAAAAAGACTCAGTTTAGCGGCTTTTTAGATATTAAACAGGTTGTGAGATGGACAATTATTACACGCTGTTACACGATTTGGACAATTTTGCTGTTACACTTGATATATATATATATATATATATATATATATATATATATATATATATATTACATTAGAGAGATTTGCTAATTTAGAACTTCCTGCTTGATTGAGAATTGGTTTTTGTTAATGACATGAAAATTATTGAAATTTAGGTTGACCTTAAAAATCCTTTTGATAAAGAGGCTTGGAAAGCGTATTAACAGACTGACCAGAACTATAAAGGTCATTGCCATGGGAACTTCCTATAATGAAAGAAAAAAAAAAAAAAGAATTGGAAAGGTAAATTGTCTGTGGATTGGAGAAAAAGTCAGTCAGTTAAACAGTTTTGCTCTTTTTATTTATGTTCAATCACGCATTACTCTCCACATGACACTCTCTATTGTTCTTTCTTTTTTGTATTTGAACAGTAATTCTTTTCTGTTTCTGTAATTTTATAGACGCATTAAATACTTTGGGAAGAACTTGTGTTAAAAAAGAAAAAAAAACTTGTATCGTATCCTATATAATATCAAGGGAATATGTACAAGTAATCATCGGTCATATGTGAAATGATGTCTTACTTGGACAAAACTTACCACTCCCTACCATGTTTAATAAATGTCGCAACATAGTCTCTCTTGGTTGGTACTTATTACCTTCTAAAATTAAATAGTTATATTTCATGCTTGAATAATACACACAGAGTAAAACAATATGACATTCTTATAGGGGCTGGTTGAAAGTTATTCATTCTTATAAATAGTGGATTGGCCAATAAGGTTGTATCTTGTTTCAAATATAGTTTTGTAAGTATTACACAAAGACATGATTTATGTAACATTTTTTACGTGCAATAACTAGTAAAATTATTTACAATTGATCAAATAGAAAATGATTGGCAGTTAAAATATCATTGGTGAAGATTATTATAGAAAATCATTTGCAATAAACTCTATAGTAAATTATTGGCAATGGTTCTATATGAAAAACAACAGGCGTAAATTGCTATAAAAATCTTTTTCAATACAATTGATTATAAATTATTGGCAATTCTTCCTTTAGTAAAAATTTTACGTAAAAATCAATATAATTACTATAGAAAACGTTTATAATACAACTGTAATAAAAAGAAACAATATAGTGGTTTACTATATTAAAAAAAATCATTGTTGATGCTTTGCCATAATAAAATTAATTCACAATGTATTCTACGGGAAAATGGCTTACAATTCTTTTCCAGTTTCTTCTAAAGCTTTCTCGTTCACTCCGAGTAACACCTTATGTCGTAGTAGCATTATCGCCTTGCTTGTCGTGAAATGATTAAAAAAAAATATACTATTTTCAAAACCTCTCATGGGCCACGCCTAGTCTAACAAGATGCGTTCATCCTGCAGGCTGTATTTTGTGCAGGCCGGCTCTATGGTTTCTTTTCAGAATTGGTGGTCTTACGTTATATAGCAATGCTGAAAGCAAGAGGGCCAGTAGAATTTTCAAGTTTTTTAAGGAACAGAATTTTTGGACCGTCAGGAGGAGGACTCAGTCAATGCTGAATTGCAGAAAATCTGAATATCTCTCTTGCTGCAGGGAATAGTGTCAACTTTTAGTTTAGAAATGAAGAAAAAAAATGTATTACCATGTTCTGGGTAATCCGGACTCCCAAACTCCCCAAGTTGTTCAGCAGCCTATAGAGAACAAGCGGAGAAAGAAAGCTTTTGATATAGCATTGGATATTGATGTGAGTCACCGAACATCTGTGCAGTATCTCCATAACGTTGTTCATTAAGGGGAAGGATGGTTAGCTGAAGGCCTAGCTGACCTTAGCAAACGTTAAAGGAAAAAAAGGAATAGGCTAATGGTATATCCAAGAAGAATAGTCCGGACATTTGGCAAATGTAATTTTCTAGAATGAATAATCCTTTGCCTAATTCTCCTCCAGTGGACCTAATTAGGCTTGGGGAAAGAGTAATTAGGTGTTTTCCAAGAATCATCTTCGACCAACTGTTCAACACGTCGGGTTTTTGGTAATGATCTGGAGTGCTATTGGGAGGACTAGTCAGTCAACTTTGTTAGAATTCACTGGCAACGTTAATGCTGCAAAATGTGTTTCAGTCCTTCAAGATGAAATTCTAACTATCTTTACCAGTCACCATATGGCCAAGAATGATATATATTTCATGCAAGATGTTGTTATATGCTTTTGCAGAATTGCATAAAAAAGAACAGTTATTTTAAATACCACCTTTTTAATCATAGCCAATTTGTTTTAGTTGTGTACAGAAACTACGCAAAATGTTTTCTATGAATGAAAATACTTTAGTGTGTTGGCTACTTCTATAATTAATGAAATAACGGTGGTGTAAAAGAACAAGCACAAAATAACAAAGACCGATTGATTTGCAATGCAAGAAAACATTAATTAAGCAGAACAGGAAAAAGGAAAGTTTAAGAGTTCTTTTTCCTCGAAGTAAATTTCAACCACATCGAAAATTGTTAATGAATGTATTTGAATGGGTTTGTGGGTGAAGCGTTCACAGCTCCTATTGCTTCGGTGTGAAAAGTTCATGTCACACAAGGCGAAAAACGAGAAGAGAATTACTTTTAAGATTTCGCTTGTTTTTTTTTTTTTTTTTTTTTTACCCTGAAAACTGCTTCTGATACTGTTTATTAAGAACTGCTACTGATACCATGTTTTATTAAGGCACCACAATACTATTACTGAGAATGCATCTCGTACGTGGTATGGTTTTCAGGCACTTTCCAAAGGTGCCGCACGCTGGAATCGTCCCCCTTCAGACCGATAATATCAAGAAGTCTCCTTCCTGACAAATCAACCGTGGTGAAATTCGAACCCGGGTCTCATGTTCAGAAAGCGAACGCTCTAACCACTTGGCCACTTGTTCACTATAGACAGATTTACCCACCTTAATGCTTACCATCTCCCGAGGATAGATGATCTTGTTCTCAGATCAAGCATTATAGTTCGTTAGACCTGAAAAGTGCTTACCGCCAAATACCTACCCTAAGTGAGGATAAGCCATACACTGCCTTTGAGGTTAACCGCAAGCTTTATCAGTTCTGCAGAATTCCATGTGTTGTCACGAATGTTGTGGCCTGTTTTTAAAGCACTATAGATGATATAATAAGACAACACCATCTGCTTGAAACATACGCTTATGTAGATAATATCATCCTTACGGGAAGGATACATCATTAACACAACCAAAATCTGAAAAGCTTCCGTGAGCTGCCCAGCTTCACAATCTTATCTTTAATGAAAAGAAGTTGGTCATATCAACCGAATCTATTGATTTTCTCGGATATACCATAACCCATAGCTCGCTAAGATCTGATGCAGAGAAATTGAGAGCTCTTAAAGAACTACCAGTCCTTGAGGGCAAAACCACTTTACGCCGTGTCATTGGCCTTTTCTCTTATTATTCCCAGTGGATTTCCGATGTGATTACAGAACTGGTTGCTGCTGAAACACTTCTTCTCAATCAAGATAGAGTAAAGGCCTTCAGTGACCTTAAAGGGGAAATTGGGAAAGCATTGTTGCATTCCATTGCATTTTAATGAGATAAGCTATCAAATGAACCTAGAGTAAGAGCCTTAGTCAGTAAGTACCAAAGTCAACCATCGCATTGAAAACATTGAGATAAGCTACCAAATGAATAGTCAGTAAGCACCAAAATCAACCATTTATTTGAAAACATTGAGATAAGCTATCAAATGAACCTAGAGTAAGAGCCTTAGCCAGTAAGCACCAAAGTCAACCATCGCATTGAAAACATTGAGATAAGCTATCAAATGAACCTAAAGTAAGAGAATTAGCCAGTAATCACCAAAGTCAACCATTGCATTGAAAACATTGAGATAAGCTATCAAATAAAAGATGTTTGTATTTTAGTATTTTTATCATTGGCATTTATAATAGAAATGAAAACAATATTAAAATTATTTTTGCGCTAATACCTGTTATCTTGCTATGAAATATGAATTCTGTATAATATTCGAAATTTAACAGAGGTGGGGGTCGATGACAAAAAACTTAGTGCCCAAAGGGAGCACTGTTTTAAAAAAAAAAGTTGGGAAACGCTGATCTAACAGAAATACTGATTTTTGAAGGTGATTTATGATAACTTTTCAGCACCCCCTCCTATAACAATTATGACAAGATATGACATTTTGTTTGAACTGAATAATTTAACAGTGTTTTTATTACTTGCAGGTCGACCTGTAAAGATGGGCAAGTAGCCATCGGCCGAAGCTTGACCACCACCAGATGGCCTCTCGCCTATCACAGTATGGTGGCCATAGCAATGATCCCCAAACTCTATGGTCAAAGCAGCAGCAGCAGCAGCAACAGCCTCACCACCCGCCTCACCACCCTCCACACCACCCTCCTCACGCTAATGCCCGAGAGGCATCAACCTATCAAGTCATTAAAAGAGATGAGCTCGATCATCGTCCAGTGTCTGTAACAAGCCATACATCAAGTGAAACAGAAGACTCACAAAATCGTGACAGTTTAACCACTGTCCTTCTCCCGTCATCCCCTCTGGCATCCTCAGTTAAACTGAACAAGAGGGACCAGGTAGCCATCGACCTCTCCTCCTTGCCAGACATCAGCACAGAGCGGGCCCGTTTCAGGACACTTGAAGAAAGCAGGCGTCAAATCTTTACAAAACGATTCCCCAGCGCGCCTTACAAACCGATCAAGCCCCTGACACGGAAGCCGTTCTGCGCGTTGTTTTGGAAGAGTGTGCTCGTTTTCTTTGGTGCACTGCTCACTTTCTTTCCTGTCTATGCGTTCCTTATTGCTTTCTTCCCGATTTGCGTGTTCCTCAAGATGGTTTTGGCTTCTTGCTGTTGCTGCTGCCAGGACTCACACGCATGCACATGCTGCTGTGCTACACACTTGACCCCGCAGGAGAAGATGTGGCTGCGATCACCGCCTTTGAACAGCGCTGTCATCCAGAGTCTGCTTATTGTCGAGCAAGGCCTGGACACGCCCACCATCAAGGATCTTCTCTACACTCGCTTGATCATTGCCGAGAAGCGACGCAATCATGCCACTTTCCCGCGGCTCGTTCAAAAAGTCGTGCCTTACTGTGCAGGCTATGCATGGGTGTATGACGAGGATTTCAATCTAGAAAATCATATTCATACTCTTTCGGACTTCATCCACACGGAGGAAGAACTGCAGGATTTTGTCTCTGAGATGGCCAGTAAAGAGCTCAATATGAACCACCCTCTCTGGGAGGTGCAAATCATACACAACTTTGGTCCGAGCAGGGAAACACTCATTCTCTTCCGCATCCATCCTTGCTTGGCCGACGGCACAAGCCTTGTTCATGTGTTCTTAAAAGCGTTTGTTGATAACCAGCCAAACTTCGGCCCGGCTCGGAAGTTCGCAAAAGGCCGCGTTTGTCTGAATTATCTATGCGGCTTCCTACTAGGGCCGTTGATATTCTTACGGAAGTGGCTCTGCACGAACTCGGACTTCAACCTGCTACACGGGAACCACGTGCATTTGTCTGGCCGGAAAATTGTGGCCTGGTCGCAGCCGTTCAACCTATCGGTGGCGACTCGCGTAAAACAGATTGCTAGATGCACTTTGAACGATCTTTTCATGTCACTTGTAGCCGGCGGTCTGCGTTCATATCTACAACAGAACGGCATTGGTAACCCATACAACCTCAAGTGTATCATTCCTGTCAACCTGCGAACGCACACAAACAACCTGAGTGCCCATTATGTCTTTATCAACAGCTCCATTCCAACCAATACCGAAGGTGCCATCCCTCGTCTTTGGAGGGTCAAATGTAGCATGAACGAATTCAAATCATCGTCAGAGCACCTGGTGTTAAACGGAGCTACGTGGGTTACTAGCCACATGCTGCCCGAGAGTTGGCACAATCGTATATGGTCAGGAATTAATAACCATTGCACATGCCTGATCTCTAATATGGCAGGGCCTGAAAATATGCTGACCTTGGACGCTAAGGTGATACGCAGTATCATGTACTGGATGCCGACACCTGACCAAGTGCCCATATCTGTATCTTTTTTCACCTACGCTGAACAGTTACGAATGTCTGTGATAGGGGACCGTTCTGTGCTTCCCAACCCAGAGTTCCTTACCAAGTATTTTGTGTTTCAGGTCAGTGGCTTAATGGCATTTCTTTCTTTAATTCTAAGTACTTTCAATGACGATGTTTTGTTTGCATGTTTCTTTCTTTTTCAGGAATTTTCATGATTAAATGGATGCATCAATAAACTTTTGCCATAATTTATCCTATCGGCAAAAATATAGGCATTTTAATCAACAAGTGAATCGTTTACGCTCTCTTTTATGGGTGACTTCTTGCACCACAGCAGCAAGCACCTGACCACTGTAGAGGTCCCTAAGGAGATTGGTATATGCGACCGCAGGCTTTGAGACTTTATTATTTGACAGTAGCATGCTTTCTGTAGTAATAGGGTTAACATTCAGTTTGTCAGCTATGTGCCATGCATGATACACGCTTAGGCGATCATGTATCTTTTGATACATGACTGACAAGGCAGATTTTTTTCCTGCATTAGGTTGCCATTTCTTTCTGTGTTTGAGCAGTTGCCATCCAAAGCTAATGAACCTGGTCTGTGTCCTGCTATTTACATATATCTTGTGGGAGAAGAGGGGGATTCATACCTTTCCCAAGGGTATTAAGACATAAGTGAATGTAATGGATTCAACTGGAATTCGAACTTGGCTTTCCAATTCCTCAATCCAAGCCGCTATCCATTACATCATCGTACCTCCCTTTTAAAAAAATAAGTATTAAGAGATACTCTCTTCTTTCAGTCAGTTATGTGACATGCGTGATACACGCTTAATCGATCATGTATCTTTCGATACATGACTGACGAGCCAGATTTTTTCCCCCGATAGGCTGCTATTTCTTTCTGAGGTAGACCAGTTGCCATCCAAGGATACAGAACTCAGTCTGTCCTGCTATTTAACCAAAGCTGGGCGGGGGAGAAAAAGAGGTTTCATACCTTTCCCAAGAGTATTAGCACGTAAGTAAATATCAGTCAGTTATGTGCCATGCGTGATACACGGTTAGATAATCATGACTGTCGAGGCAGATTTTTTCCCGCAGTAGGTTGCCATTTCTTTTTGCGGTATACCAATTTCTATCCAAGGCTACAGGACCCGGCCTGACCTGCTATTTACCTATAGCTGGTGTGAGAAGAAGAGGTTTCATACCTTTCCCAAGGGTATTAGCATGAAAGTGAATGTGATGGATTCGACTGGAATTCGATACCTTAATCCAAGCCGCTATCCATTACTCCAAGGGTTAACATTATGAAATTAAAAAAAAAGAATTAATGTTCCTGAAAAATATGAAAATAGATATTTATCACGTATATATTTCTGAGATGAGGTACTGTAACTATTTACATTATTTACATTGTTTGGACTGTTGTTCTCATCTTTATTGTCATGTTCATGACGCTTTGGCCGTTTGTACGCTCCGGCCTTCTTCAGGTGATTGAAATTTCGAACTGAACCCTTTATTTCGTCCACCAGGGTAGATTGTTCTAGTTTCATGTGGCTTGCCTCTTCCGGGTGTCTCAGTTATCTCCCTTTAACTCAACTGTCCAAGTTTTTTGTTCACCTCTGCTGTACCCATGTATTGAACTCGCAACTGTTTGGGTCAGGTCACTGGAACTAAACAACGCTTTAATCTACTGGGCCATGTGTCCTTGAAGACCTGAAGTAGCCCAGAGCATACAACGAATGAAACGTTGTGAATATGGCAATTAAGATGAGGACAACAGTTTTGAACAATGTAAATAATGTAAATAAAGATTGGTCTGCTTGCAAAAGGATTAAATGTTTGACGTAAAACAAATGGATGTCTGCTATTTGTTGTTTGTTTATAGTTTTCATGGTGAATTTCCTGAAAAACAGTATAAAGTTAGTATCCTGAAGAAAGCCAGAGCATACAACAGCCAAAACAATGTGAATATGGCAATAAAGATGAGGACAACAGTTTGAATTCTGTAAATAGTGTAAATAGTTAAAATACTTCATCTCAGAAATATAGACATATCCTGAAGAAGGCCGGAGCATCCAATGGCCGAAACGTCATGAATATGGAAATGAAGATGAGAACAACAGTCTGAACAATGTAAATAAACACTGGTTTGTTAAGCTACTCCAAATGCTGCTTGCAAAAGGATTGAATGTTTGACGTAAATCAAATGAATGTCTACTATTTATTATTTGCTTCTAGTTTTCACAGTGGGTTTCCTGAATAACAGTATAAGGTCAGTATGAGGCATGAACCCTTTTTTATTGAGACTGGCGGTTGGCTATAATTGCAATACTTTATATTTACGAAAGTCTTACTAATCCAAAAATGGAGTATTTCAGTTATATCCGGGCTGAGGTTGCTCAATCCTCACTTTCTACCTTGACAGAATTCAAAATTGTTTACCTGGCTTTTTGTTGAGAGTAGACATTCTCCTCTCTGCTGCTACTTTTTCTCGGACATAAACCTGTTCCTACTCTATCGTTATTTTCATAGGAAATGCTCAGATAAGCTCAAATTCAGTTTCACCAGTTCAGACCCTTACATCTAGAACTCACCATGCTATTCCATGCCCATGTACTTGATTCATACCTGTTTCCTCTTTATTCCATTTGTAAGAAGGAAGTATTGCGAGACAGGAGGATTTCTTTGGTAACAAAGAAAAGAGTACTGAGCTGTTACGTGACATCTGTCCTCCTTTAAGGCAGCAAATGTTGGACAGTCTCCTCAAAGATGAAGAAGAAACTTGAGGCGATGGAGATTTGGTTCTACAGAAGGATGCTGAGGATATCATATGTGAGCAAAGATTGGGTCTTAGAGAGGATGCAAACAAGGAGGAGGCTTATGCTTGACATCAAGAAGAAGCAGCTGTAGTTTCTGGGACATGTAATGAGAAAGGAGGGCTTGGAGAATCTGATACTCAAAGGTCGAATAGAAGGAAAGAAAGACAAGGGAAAGCAATGCATGACATATTTGGTGGGATTAAGCAAGTGGATGACAGAATGTGGTCTGGGAGAGATGGCAGATGGACAAAACTTATTGAGAGCTACAAGGGATATAGGGAAATGGAAGGTCATGGTTGCATAATCCTGAAAGGACATGCCACATAAAAAGAAAGAAGAAGGAAGTTAGACTCAGACAGCTTTTCCCAAGAACAAAGCATGACTGCTTCCCTGAATAATAAAATCTTAAAGTCAAGGGTCAGACAATATACCTATTCTCTTTATCCTTATCATCTTCACTTCTTTCTGCCTACCTTTATATTCATATGATACACCTCACACAATAACCCTCTACCATGAGTGACTCTTGAGTCTTATATTGGTGAACATTAGCATAAAAAAGTATTTCTACATATTACTTGGGTGAATAGCTTCATTTTTTGTTATTTTCAGCCCTTCCTGAGTATTGCCTGAAGTTTGGTTTGGTTTGGTTTATGGCATATCAACCTTAATGGGTTATTTAATGCCAACAAGATTTTTATTGCTGGTAATATTTTTTCCAAAAAGTATATTTGGTAATATTTTTTCCAAAACTGTATTGCTGGTAAAAAAAAAAGTATTGCTGGTAATAATGTATTTCTGGTAATAATTTTTTCTTCAAAAATTTATTGCTGGTAATAATTTTTTACAAAAATGTTTTACTGATATTAAAAAGTATTTTTACATGTTTTGACCACATGCTGGGGGTTAACTATTTGCCCATAGCTGGGACCCTAACAGCTGAGTTAGGATGGACTGGTGAACAGCAATTAAGAGGTGGTTCCACACTCCTCAAAACTTCCTGATCAGAGGCCTTGCGAGTCGGATGTAGTTTATCATCTTACCCAGGACATGGAAGTAGTTTATCATCATACCCAGGATGATGAAGTTTGGTGAAGTTTGGTGATAGTTACTAGTCCACAATATATATTCACTGTTATCTAACACCAATTGCTTTAATTACGTTTCCATAATATGGAAATAATCCTTTAGCATTCCTTAAGTGTATGTTGCATTTCATTTTTTTAAAAAATTGTCTATTACCTTTTTTTCCCCCATCTCCTCCCAAGAATGCCTCAGCTTAATAAATTTGAAAGTTGTGTTCTTGAGTGAACTTTCAGGTAATGTTTTATCTATGAATTGGCTTCAGTGGCAAAAATAAGCTTTCCTAGTCCATCATTTCCTTTTATTTGTCTGCAATTATCATCTATACTGGGCTTACTTGTACATTTATTCAAACAATCTCATATCTACACCTTCTTTTATCTTACAAACTTTCCAATGGATTTTTTTGTTTCATTCTTTCTCCAGTTTTTATACCTGATTTTCTAAGACTATTTAGTTATTGTATTATTTGGCAAATCCTTATGGTAAATGAAATGACTTTATATTCCTGGCTTACAGGAAATGCAGAATTTTTTTTTTTGTTTTCCAACTTTTTTGAAGTTCTGATATAAAATATTTTCATTATTCAACATATTGTTAATAATTATTATTTGAATCATTGTTTTTTTTTTAATCTAACCAAAATATTCTTCAGCCCACTTTGGTCTTTAAATAATGCACATTATTTTTTTTCTTTTTTGTTTCTGCAATTTAACACAGTGGGGGAATTCTAAAGTTTTGTCTTAACATATGGGCAATTTATAAAGTGCTAACTCGAGGGCAGTTCGGAAGTCTTGTGTTAACTCAACAGTCAGTTCTAAAGTCTTGTCTTAACTCAAGGGTAAATTCTAAAGTCTTGTATTAACATAGGAGCAATTTATGAAGCCTTGTGTTAACTCAAGGGTGAGTTCTGAAGTCTTGTGTTAACTCAAGGTGAATTCTAAAGGAGCAATTTAAATATATAATTAACATAGGAGCAATTCCTGATGTCTTGTTCTAAGTCAAGAGTGAGTTCTGAAGGTTCCTGCTTTTGTACTAACACAAGAACAGAAAAACAGAAGAAAACCTTCCACTCTAAGAAAGAAAAACTAAAAAGTGACACTGAATGCAGCATATAATTGAGGAAGGCTGAAGAACATATCAGTTAAAATATTGTCTTAAAACAACAAAAATTAAGCTAATAGTCTGAAAATGCTTGGACTAAATTTATTTAA